TACGTTGGGCTTCCGTTGGATGAGATGTTTGTAAGTTCGCACATAATTAAGCAAATGTGGGGCCGACCGATCTTTTCTCCGGCCTCATTTTTAGCTTCTTTGAACTTGCAAGGAAGAACAACAACACTTTAAAAAAAATCACAAGCAATAAGCGAATGGACAAAAGGAAACTAAAACGAAGAATGACCTGGGTGGCCGTTCTCCCGTGGAACCCGTTTTGATCGAACCACCTCCTCGGCCATGGACTCCCAATTTCCTCCGACTTAAAGGAAATTAGAGCCATGTTTGTCATTATTAGGAAGTTTAGTGACGAGTTGGAGGTCCAACGACCGAACTTTGACATAATAGGTTTTGCCGCCTTTGTTATGAGATAAGGAATAGCAATGAAGGATATCCCAAATACCCAAGTCCAAGTCTAAGAGGTCGTTCAAGACCGAGACGCCGTTTACCACTCTAAATGTGTTCATTGATATTTGCATTGGTGTAACATCAAAATAAGAAAAGAATCGACGCAACAAGTGGTTCAACGGAAACCTAACACCCCCCCCTCTACAATGGAAGCAATTGAGAAGGGCATTGTGGTGCTCGTACACGACCGATTCGCGTCCACTGCCGCCAATGTCAACGTGACATCATTGGGAATGTTATATCTTCGGCGAAACTCGTGGATTCTCGCCGGAGTGCCCGCTAAGTTCCGAAACTTACCCATGGGAGGTGCGACGTGCCACCAAACAACTACACTAAGGATGACTTGCAAGGTTAAAGGTACAATGGCCGATTGAGTTATTGTGAGCTAGACAACTTTCAATGTTACACTTAACCAAAACATCAATGGTGAAAATGGAAAGGAAATACATGGGTTTAATAACTTACAATGCCGATTCAAGGCAATAAGATGCAATGGTAGTGAGAAGGTCCCGTTGTGATTAGCGTTGCACTGGGAAAAACTGTCATAGAAGGAACAATGAACGACTCAATAATGGTGGAACAACCAAAAATCAACAAGAAAAGCTTATTAAAAGGAGAGAGTTCAAAAACTTACAAGATTAGAACCGGCGAGACAAGTTGACAGCAACCAAAAAAAAACAAACGCGAGCCACGGAGTAATGGTGGATTGCCGGAAAACAAAACTAGTGAACAAGAGCCAAAATGAATAGGTCGTAAGTAACAGAATAACAAGGATATTTTTTGGCTGCAAATAACGAATGCCGACGAGTCACCGGAAGATGAAGATCGAAGTAGAGAACGCTGGGTTTGTCTCCAGACTCTGAAAATCTAATTCTCTAGAGTGAGAAAGTGAGGAGACCACGTCGTTGGTGCAAGCTCTCAACTTTCTGAAGAGAAATTTGGAATTTATAGAAAGAGGACCAGAGGTCAAGCTATCAAATTTTAAAATTGCTTTAGAGTTCCAAGGAAAGAAAACGTAAGGATAAAACCAAAGTCAGACTCTTTTTCCAAAAATGGGTTCTGTTGTTTTTGGAGTCAAAAAGTGAGGCAGCAAAGACATGGGAAAAGTGGGTTTGGAAATTCAAATTTCTAGAGTGAGAAAGTGATAGGTAAAATGGGTTTGCTTGTTTTCAAAAAACTCTGAAATGGGCTTGCTTTCACGTCACGTTGGCAACCCCCAAACTAATCAAATATGGACGCATGATGGCTCTACAGTCGGAGTAAGTACATTAGTCAAGGCCGAGCTTGAGGTCCGGTGACAAGGCCAAGTTCACGAACAACTGAGCTGCGATGCTCACGGACGGGTCAGCTGAAGCACTTTAGACCGAGCTAAAGGGCACTTAAAACAGTGATGACTAAGTGTGAAATTGGCCCAGCTCTGAACTTTTCAGGCGAGCCGAGCACGGCATGTGAGTGTCCGAAGCTCTATTAAGCTTCTCGGCCAAATCAGCGAGCAAATAGGTTTTGGAAGTTAAGTTTTCTAGTATAAAAAAGATAAGCAAAACAAGTCATAGATGTGTCGACCAACCGAATGACAACGAAGACGACCGAACAAGAATGAACCGAGCAAAATTGAAGACAGCCGTGCAACGCAGAACACGAATTTGAAGACCAAAATAATGATTGAGTTGAGTAGATGTCGTGTGTAAATTAAGTGGAGTTGCTCGGCCCATCAAGTGTCGGAAAAGGGTCGACCGAGCAACAACGTCAAAACCAAACAAGCATGACCGACCAATGCATGAAGAGGAGCTGAAAAAACTGATCTGTTGATCATGTCCAAACCAGAGTGCACGAGTATGACTTGGCCGACCAAGAACTGAAATCACCTGTGGATTTTCTAAGTGGGACCGAACCAACATAATTTTCCATTGTCTATTCTTGTTGGAAAGTGCATTTGCTCAGAGTATAAATTATACAATTTTTGCAGTTGCTCAGCCCACCAATGACTTACTTGGTTAACCGACGTGCAAACCAACCAAGCAAAGATGTGTTTATACTGTGATCAAGCATGAAAATCAACATATGGCCCACTAAACGCTTCTAGGGCAAACCTACAAAATTTGATTAAGTGGTATACCAAGTTTGTAGGCCCCATGTCTATTTCACCAAGTGCAATAAAACATCAAGCACCCAACAAATAATATTTGCATGCTATTACCATGCATGGCAATCAAGGTATGGCTCACAAAGCATTACCCATCAACAATATCAAAACATATTAGAAATTGGCTATGATAAGGCATGCTTGGATTGCTTTGAAGCACTGCCGAGTTGCTTGGCCCAATCCACGAACATAAAAAATACATATATATATTAAAAAAAAAAATTTTTTTGCTGTGTATATATTTTCAAGTCAAGCAGTGATGCTCAGCCGACTGAGAGAGCACCAAGCTAGACAGTTATGAGGCTAGTGATGATACACATGTTCAGTTTGAGGGCATTACCGAGCTACGAAACACTGGGCAAACACAAACATTGTACCGAACAATAATTTTGAATCCAACTCACGAAGCTCAAATTAGGTTATGATCAACCGAACTTCAAAGTTTGTGACGAAATTGGCTTCCGCTCCGCTAAATGTAAGCGCAAGCTAGAGGGCAAATGAAGTGGGATAAAATTAACTAAGTCTTGGTGTTCGGCCCAAAGCCGGACCCGCACTAGTAGGGGAGCTAAGGGCTCGGCCCAGTGGCCAAACACTTGCTCCCGATCAAGGCAATCAAGGTAGCTTGGCCCAATCCGAAACGGACCAAACAACATGTTGGACAACCACTCCAAAGTGGCCCGAGCAATGTGGTGGACCTCCTGGTTGGACAGACAACCACTCCGAAGTGGGCCAAGCAACATGTTGGACCTCCTGGTTGGACAACCACTCTGGAGTAGACTAACTTAATGAAGGCCAATTCACTGAAGATCTTTCTTAGGCTCACAAGAGACAAACAACTCTGTCCCTCTCCCTTTGTCTGAACAGAACGTGGAGACATGGAGGTACAGAGGGACGAGGCGTACACATGACAGACATGCATCTAAGTGTTAGGCGGAGTGGTTGTCCTCCTCCAATAAGAGACGATCACTAATAAGACAAATAAGACAGACCTGCACCCGAGTGTTAGGCGGAGTGGCCGTCCTCCTCCATTGGGAGACGACCACGAATAAGACAAATCGGACAATTGGTGGAGAGAGAAGGTCTTGGAGGACAAGCGACCTTCTCCTATAAAAGGTGAGCACTATTCATTCTCAAGGGATTCGAAATTTACACACTTAACATATATACACTCCTGGTATTCTCTCTTCTTCTTTTCCCCGAGTCCCTGACTTTACCATCGGAGGGGTTTCCGACCAAACCCCGGTTGGGCAGTCTCACCGTTTGTTATCCGGTGCATATCTTCAATTCCCAACGCACGCTGTTCATCCACGAAGTTCAACCCTTCTTCATAGAGCAGAAATCACCCCCGCACACTAGGGGGTTTGCAATGTTTCTTAAAATTTAGATTCAGGTGTCCTAATGCAAAATACAAAATTAATGGGAGATTAGTTAACATGACATTATAGGAAAAGGCGATTAATTGGGAATAAGTGAGGGAGAGATAAGTGATAGGGGGAGGGAGGGAAAATTACATAAAAAGTACACATGATAAGGTAAAATTTATGCTCGTGACACCCCTTTAGCACTACTTGAATGAACTGTGTTTTGGTGTAGTTGAGCACAATTTTGTTGAAGGTTGCCTTATATTGAACCTTCTTTTTATTTTCAGTTTTTTATCTTCTATCCTCTATTTGTTTTGTTAACTTTCCGGCTTTTGTTGGCTGCAAAAGATATCATCATAAAAGGCCAAAAGGACTCTTTTCCCTTTGTGTGTTGTTATCAATGATTTGTATCATGATGTATTAACGATTGCATTTTTCCAATTGTCTATTACAAGTACCAGGTACTTATAGGGTATGGGTACGGGTACGCGTACTGGTACAGCGGGTATGCCAAATATATGCTGGGTGCGATAAATACGTTTGGGTACGACGAGGTGATATATATATATATATATATATTTTTCCAGCTGCTAGAATTTGTTGCAGCTTTTATTATTCTTCTTTCAACTTCAAAAATCATCAAGTAATTTATTTCCAACATCCTTTACCCATAAGTCATGTTTTTGCTCTACTTTATATCTAGTTTTGGATAATCAAAAAAGAAAAAGAAAGAATTATATAACTTTTTAGATAAGTTGTTCTCTTTTTAGTTTTGATATTGAAACTTTGATTTGTATGTTGGATGTTTAGCTATAAATAAAAAAAATTGATGTATCCCAGCTGTATCCGTACCCTACTTTTTAAAGAATTTGCCATATCAGCGTACCCTGTATCCGTATCCATACCTACACACGTGCTTCATAGATGCTATCCTGCTACATCTCTCCCTGCCATTGTTAACTTCATGCTTTGTCTGTATGATTTTGCATTTGACCCACAATATGTGAATAGGTCTGTCCTAATTACTTGTGTTTTAACATAATTTTTCCTAAGACAGTTCTCTTGGTTTTTTAATGCATATGCTGCAGGCTGTCAGAAGGGACAATAAACAGCGGTTTAGCCTTCTGGAAGACAATGGGGAGCTTTTAATACGTGCAAACCAAGGGCACTCAATAGTGGTAATTTTTCCTCTAAATAAAAGGGTTTGTTTTTTTGGGTACAATTTATATCAAAGGAATGCAGCTTAAGAATTTCAGGAAAAAAATGATTGAGACTAACCTGTAACTCTATTTACGAGTATGATTCTAGTTTTATAGTTGCTTGGTTGTTGTTTAGACTTCTCTTTGCAAACTTTATTTTGTGAAATGTCACTCAAGTGTCTGTAGTTCAACTTTTCAAGAGTGGGAATTGTATCATGACTGTCATATTGTAGAATTGGTTTTATTTACCAAGCCAAACCAAACCAAGCCTTAAGTTCCATCAATGGGGTCGGCTACATGAATCCTTCTTCTCCAAGCGGCCCTATCAAAGGTCATTTCATTAGTCAAATAAGTAGATCCATATCTCTATTTACAACGCTAGCCAACGTTAATCTAGGCCTACCCCGTCCCTTGACATTTCCTTCTACCCTTATAACATCGCATCTCTTTACGCCTTTGTTGGTCTCCGTTGAATATGACCAAACCATCTCAATCGATTCTCCCTCAACTTATCTTCTATTGGTGCTACTCTTACTCATTCTCGAATACATTCATTCCTAATTCTGTCTTGTTTAGTCTTGCCACACATCCACCTTAGCTTTCTCATCTCAACCACACTCATCTTATCTATATGTTGTTTCTTGGTTGCTTAACACTCCGTCCCACACAACATCGATGGTCTAATAGCCGTTCTATAGAACTTACCCTTTAGTCTAGTGGGTATTCGTTTATCGCACAGTGCCCCAAACGCACTTCTCCTCGTACACCATCCCGCCTTAATCCTATGGGCCACATCCGCATCAATCTCCCCCGTTGTTGTGATAATCGACCCTAAATAACGAAAATGCTCACTCTTAGGTAGTTCTTGGTTCTCAATTTTCACTTCTCCTCTGTTTTCATTGTTACTGTTACTAAATTTACACTCTATGTACTCTGTCTTAGTTCTGCTTATCCGGAATCCTTTAGATTTAAGAGTTTTTCTCCAAATCTCCAATTTTGTGTTAACTCCTTCTCTAGTCTCATCTACTAGCACGATATCGTCTGCTAAAAGCATACACCATTGGTACGTCATCCTGAATATTTCTTGTCAACTCATCCATAACTAAAACAAAAAGATAAGGACTTAAGGTAGATCCTTGGTGTAACCTTACAATGATAGGAAATTCATGTGTCTTTAATCACATGAATGTAACTTTTTGTCACCCCTTTCTTCTCTAACACCCACAATATTATATCCCAGGACACTCTATTATATGTTTTCTCAAGGTTGATAAACACCATATGAATGTCTCTTTTCTTTTCTCTATACTTTTCTATTACTCTTCTTAAAAGATCGATCGCTTTCATTGTTGACCTATCAGGCATAAATCCAAATTAATTCTCTGATACCTCTGCTATATCTCGTAATCGACGTTTCATCACCTTCTCCCACACTTTCATTATATGACACATTAGCATGATTCCTCTATAGTTGTTGCAATTCTGGACATCTCCTTTATTCTTATAGATTGGCACTAAAATACTCTTCCTCTACTCATCTGGCATGTTCCTAATTAACAATATTTTGCTAAACAACCTAGTCAACCAAGCAACCCCTTTTTATCTAAACACTTCCAAGCTTCAATAGGGATATCATTGGGTCCTAAAGTCTTATTTGATTTCATCTTTTTAAGTGCAATCTCCATTTCAAAGTTCCTAATCCTGCGATAGAACCTATGGTCTTGGTGAATCGTATTACTGGCTATTTCTTCCCCTATTGCCATACCTCCATGTTCCTCATTTAATAGTTTCTCAAAATAATTCTTCCATATTTTTTTTAATTTATTTATAAAAAAAAAAAAATCATGAATTACGAAGATTAGTTTAAAAATACAATACCAAACTCTTAAGAACTTTGAAATGTGCATCATATATAACACATCTGATATAGATCTTACTGTTCATATTTTCATGGTCAATTGTCAGATGGCAGCAGCTCAACTTTAAGATTAAGATTGGAACACTAGACCTTAATGCCTAATTCCTAAATATGATTGTATTCTGGTATGAGGCCAGTGGCCTAAATTGCATAGATTCATAGAACCACATATTTTTCTATGCAGCATGCAATGCTGAGTTAATACATTACTTTATTGGCTGGATCCCTGTACTGGACATATATTTTAATTACCTCCACAAATACTTCAACTTATGACATACTTCAGAAAAGTATGTCTTAATAAGGCACCTGTTGAAATACCTATGATTGTTTTCCAAATGCCCTCTTGGTCTTGTTATGTTGTTGCCAATGTGCATGCACATAACTTGTGCAATCTAAATATGTTGCACAGCTGCTACATGCACTGCTAATTATAGATTTTAACCAGTTTTCTCTTTGTAATAAAGATATTGAGAGGAGATTCTTATTGCATTAGTATTTCAATGGAAGTTGTCTTAAAAATGAACCAGAATAAAGGCCATTCCCTGGTGCTGGTCCCCTGTAATGGAGGTTGACAGGAGGGGTTGATTGAAATAGACCTAACCTTCTGCATTATATTCTCTAAGTAGCTGCTTTTATGTTCAAACCTGTATTCTCACACTTGAAATTAAAAGTTCACCATGTTAGTGACAGAATAATGGCATTAGAGGCCCAACCAATTTGGGATGAAAATTTGTCTCGATGAAATGAACCATTTTAGACTTCATTTTGCGAGCCGTAGAATTTAGAAATGATGTCAATTTTGTTAAGAATTGGTTTAAGTCAAAGCTGACATTGATATTTATTGATCTGGGTTTGCCTGGAAATTTTTTTATTTTTTCCTTTATTACTTTGTTTCCTATTTTAGTGTTTGGGTTTGAGCATTTATCTGAGCTGTATGATCCAATAATTTGAATTTGTTATGCATGCTTGGCAGACTGTTGAAACTGAAAGCTTATTAAAACCAATCCTTTCAGCTGAAGAAGTTCCAGGTGGATATAGTTTCAAATGCTATACATTTATTGTTTAGGAGTTGAAACTTCGCTATTTTATATCATATTTTACATCTTTGTTTGCTTCATTCCTTTTGTTTCGTGGTTTAAGTGGGTGAAGTAGGTGGAGAGTATGTGGATTTAGTGGGTTAGGTTTAGTGGAGTAGGTTTAAGTGGGTGAAGTAGGTGGAGAGTATGTGGATTTAGTGGGTTTAAGGAGTAGGTGAAGTGGAGGTGGTAGTGGTGTAGTGGGTTAGGTTTAGTGGAGTAGGTTTAAGTGGGTGAAGTAGGTGGAGAGTGGGTAAAGTAGTGGGTTAGGTTTAGTGGAGTAGGTGAGGTGATAGTGGTGTAGGTGAAGGTAAATTCTAACATTGTAGAATTGGTTTTATTTACCAAGCCAAACCAAACCAAGCCTTAAGTTCCATCAATGGGGTCGGCTACATGAATCTTTCTTCTCCAAGCGGCCCTATCAAAGGTCATTTCAATAGTCAAATTAAGTAGATCCATATCTCTATTTACAACGCTAGTCAACGTTAATCTAGGCCTACCCCGTCCCTTAACATTTCCATCTACCCTTATAACATCGCATCTCTTTACTACTGCCTTTGTTGATCTCCGTTGAATATGACCAAACCATCTCAATCGATTCTCTCTCAACTTATCTTCTATTCATTCCTAATTCTGTCTTGTTTAGTCTTGCCACACATCCACCTTGGCTTCCTCATCTCAACCACACTCATCTTATCTATATGTTGTTTCTTAGTTGCCTAACATTCCGTCCCATACAACATCGATGGTCTAATAGCCGTTCTATAGAACTTACCCTTTAGTCTAGTGGGTATTCGTTTATCGCACAGTGCCCCAAACGCACTTTTCCACGTACACCATCCCGCCTTAATCCTATGGGCCACATCCGCATCAATCTCCCCCGCTGTTGTGATAATCGATCCTAAATAACGAAAATGCTCACTCTTAGGTAGTTCTTGGTTCTCAATTTTCACTTCTCCTCTGTTTTCATTGTTACTGTTACTAAATTTATACTCTATGTACTCTGTCTTAGTTCTGCTTATTCGGAATCCTTTAGATTCAAAAGTTTTTATCCAAATCTCCAATTTTGTGTTAACTCCTTCTCTAGTCTCATCTACTAGTACGATATCGTCTGCTAAAAGCATACACCATGGTACGTCATCCTGAATATTTCTCGTCAACTCATCCATAACGCAAAAAGATAAGGACTTAAGGTAGATCCTTGGTGTAACCTTACAATGATAAGAAATTCATGTGTCTCTAATCACATGAATGTAACTTTTTGTCTCCCCTTTCTTCTCTAACACCCACCATATTATATCCCGGGGCACTCTATTATATGCTTTCTCAAGGTTGATAAATACCGTATGAATGTCTCTTTTCTTTTCTCTATACTTTTCTATTACTCTTCTCAAAAGATAGATCGCTTTCATTGTTGACCTGTCAGGCATAAATCTAAATTAATTCTCGGACACCTCTGCTATATCTCGCAATCGGCGTTTCATCACCCTCTCCCACACTTTCATTATATGACACATTAGCATGATTCCTCTATAGTTGTTGCAATTCTGGACATCTCCTTTATTCTTATAGATTGGTACTAAAATACTCTTCCTCTACTCATCTGGCATGTTCTTAATTAACAATATTTTGCTAAACAACCTAGTCAACCAAGCAACCCTTTTTTATCTAAACACTTCCAAGCTTCAATAGGGATATCATTGGGTCCTAAAGCCTTATTTGATTTCATCTTTTTAAGTGCAATCTCCACTTCAAAGTTCCTAATCCTGTGATAGAACCTATGGTCTTGGTGAATCGTATTACTAGCTATTTCTTCCCCTATTGCCATACCTCCATGTTCCTCATTTAATAGTTTCTCAAAATAATTCTTCCATTTTTTTTTTAATTTATTTATAAAAAAAAAAATCATGAATTAGGAAGATTAGTTTAAAAATACAATACCAAACTCTTAAGAACTTTGAAATGTGCATCATATATAACACATCTGATATAGATCTTACTGTTCATATTTTCATGGTCAATTGTCAGATGGCAGCAGCTCAACTTTAAGATTAAGATTGGAACACTAGACCTTAATGCCTAATTCCTAAATATGATTGTATTCTGGTATGAGGCCAGTGGCCTAAATTGCATAGATTCATAGAACCACATATTTTTCTATGCAGCATGCAATGCTGAGTTAATACATTACTTTATTGGCTGGATCCCTGTACTGGACATATATTTTAATTACCTCCACAAATACTTCAACTTATGACATACTTCAGAAAAGTATGTCTTAATAAGGCACCTGTTGAAATACCTATGATTGTTTTCCAAATGCCCTCTTGGTCTTGTTATGTTGTTGCCAATGTGCATGCACATAACTTGTGCAATCTAAATATGTTGCACAGCTGCTACATGCACTGCTAATTATAGATTTTAACCAGTTCTCTTTGTAATAAAGATATTGAGAGGAGATTCTTATTGCATTAGTATTTCAATGGAAGTTGTCTTAAAAATGAACCAGAATAAAGGCCATTCCCTGGTGCTGGTCCCCTGTAATGGAGGTTGACAGGAGGGGTTGATTGAAATAGACCTAACCTTCTGCATTATATTCTCTAAGTAGCTGCTTTTATGTTCAAACCTGTATTCTCACACTTGAAATTAAAAGTTCACCATGTTAGTGACAGAATAATGGCATTAGAGGCCCAACCAATTTGGGATGAAAATTTGTCTCGATGAAATGAACCATTTTAGACTTCATTTTGCGAGCCGTAGAATTTAGAAATGATGTCAATTTTGTTAAGAATTGGTTTAAGTCAAAGTTGACATTGATATTTATTGATCTGGGTTTGCCTGGAAATTTTTTTATTTTTTCCTTTATTACTTTGTTTCCTATTTTAGTGTTTGGGTTTGAGCATTTATCTGAGCTGTATGATCCAATAATTTGAATTTGTTATGCATGCTTGGCAGACTGTTGAAACTGAAAGCTTATTAAAACCAATCCTTTCAGCTGAAGAAGTTCCAGGTGGATATAGTTTCAAATGCTATACATTTATTGTTTAGGAGTTGGAACTTCGCTATTTTATATCATATTTTACATCTTTGTTTGCTTCATTCCTTTTGTTTCGTTGTGACATGCAGTGTGTGTCCATGGGACCTATAAGAAGTTTTTGGAATCAATATTGGAGCAAGGTATCAAGCGAATGAAAAGACTGCACGTTCACTTCTCTTGTGGCTTGCCAATGGATGGTGAAGTAATTAGTGGTAAGATGTTTGGAGTGATCTCTTTGCCCAAATTGTTTTTACCATTACAATCATGAGTTTATGAAATCCTTTGAATATGTCATATGCCTCACTTTCTCTTTCAAAGTGGAAAGTAAAATGGAGATGAAAAATCGTTTGCATCTAGTAACTTGGGTAATTTTGATGATTTCTGACCATTGACATGTCAACTTCCAGGTATGATGGTGAAGTAATTAGTGGTAAGATGTTTGGAGTGATCTCGTTGCCCAAATTGTTTTTACCATTACAATCATGAGTTTATGAAATCCTTTGAATGTGTCATATGCCTCACTTTCTCTTTCAAAGTGGAAAGTAAAATGGAGATGAAAAATCGTTTGCATCTAGTAACTTGGGTAATTGTCATATGCCTCACTTTCTCTTTCAAAGTGGAAAGTAAAATGGAGATGAAAAATCGTTTGCATCTAGTAACTTGGGTAATTTTGATGATTTCTGACCATTGACATGTCAACTTCCAGGTATGAGACGGGATGTCAACGTTTTGATATTTCTTGACGTGAAAAAAGCTTTGGAAGGTAAGGTCAAGCAAACTGGAAATGAATTGGATTGTTTTGAACTTCAAAATCTAAACACATATTCGCTTGTAATACTAAGTCGAAACAGAGGAAGCTTGATGTACTTTTTTCTATGTTTTTATTCAGAGGGAATGAAGCTTTATATTTCAGACAACGAGGTGGTCTTGACTGAAGGTTTTGATGGTGTTGTACCAGTGAAGTACTTTGCAAAGATAGAATCATGGCCAGATAGACAAGCCATACCCTTTTAGACTTGGATCATATCTGGACTATTTGTTTCTCCTTTTTTGTTTTTATGTTTAAATATTTGGGACTCGTGTTTTCCATTTAATGGTGTGATAAGATGTACCAACTTTTTTTTTCCTTCTTTTTTGTTGAAAAATGTAAATCTAGCACACATATAACAATTATTGATTAGATTAATTAATCTATTCATGAAAATCATGGTTTATCCAATTGGTGGGCTATGTTTTATGTTCATACCTTGTGTGTTTCATGCGTGCTGCTTTTGTAGATCTGTATATTTCAAATCTATTGGATTTTTAAGATTTGTATTTTGTATGTAAAATATGATTTTGTGTTTTTTTGTTTTTGTTTTTTTGGGGCCCTTTTATTTTGAGTCAGGTGTGCTTTATATATCCAGATAAGTGATAAGTACTTTCGTTGGATAGAAGACTTGTGTTTGGTTTAATTTTCAAGAGTTTAAAATCCAAAATTTTGTTTGGTTTATAATTTTTTTAAAATTATTTTTAATCACTTTTTAATCTTTTTTTTCATTCTCTCATATCTTATGCATCAATAAATCATTTTTTCTTTATCGTCTCTCATTCTTTCACGTCATACACATCAATTAATTATTTTTTCTCTTATATCTATCTATTCAATTACAACCAAAATAAAAAAAATTAAATTTTTTTTTATAAATCATCCCAAATTAAAAAACTATAACTACAAAACTATTTTTAAAATAACAACCAAATAAAATTTTAAATTTTGAAAACTCTTTTGAAAAATTTATCTTTCAAAATTGATTTCAAAATCAAACCAAATGGTTTAATGAAGCTTGGATTTTGGATTTGAGAGAATTTTATTTCACTTTGTCAAATGCAAATGGTTCAATGAAGCTTGGTTTAACCAAGCTTTGATGAGTTAAAGCACCTCTAACGACTAATCAAATAATTCATTAAATTTGAGTAAAACAAAGTATGAGATCCTTTATATGATATCAGTCACTCTAACGGTGATATCATCAAATCACTGGTCGTCCAACTGGTCAACCGGCAAGAGCAAATGCACCACTGTTGCCTAAAACCACTGTCTTCTGGAATTATAAAACCCAACTTAGATTCCACAAACATGATGGTAAGGTTAATGATTGACCCAAAGAACACAACATAACTCTAATATTTTGCAAACCCAGGTCAAGGAACAAAGGACAAGGAAGGCAGAGAATGAGATGGGTATTCATAAACCTCCATCGATTGCAAATCAAACAAATGAGTCACGGGTTTGATTCAAAGGTGAGTCTAGTTCAAGCAAACCCAGAAAGATTTATGCCTGTATATGTGAATATTCACATACCACACATACACACATATGATTATATATATATATATATATATAAGAAAAAAAGGAAGAAGAGGTAGAAGAAGAGTTTAGAGAGACTTGTTGTGTGAAAAGGAATTGGGGAACAATCATGGCTGCTGCTGTTCATTTTCTGTGTAATCCGGACAACTGGCCGGATGTCCGGTGGCCCCACACCCAATGATCACACACAGTGATTTGGTGAAAGCTGGGCTAGCTTCTCAATTTGGTACAAGATTTGGGTTATTCTCAATTTGATATCGTTTTGCTGAAACCATTGGAGAGCTAAAAACGATACTTTTTCACCAAATTTAAATTTGGTGATGAAGATGAGTACACGTTGGAGATGGTCTTAAGGCCTATTTGTTAAGAGCTTCGGGGTTGTTCTTAGAGGTCAATCAGAGTGATTTGAATTTTAAAGTGCATTCCCAATCTAATGAAATTCCTTACATTTGGGTAGATGTATAGTGGTTTTTTTTTTTTTTTTTAAGGAAAGATATATAGTTGTTATTATCAATTTGTGTAACCTTGTATTCTTCTCACTTTCTTTTCAAAAGTTGAAAAATGAAAATTATTCTGTAGTCTTGGACAATCATCTTTATTTTGATTATGATTAATAACGTTTGGTTATCTCGGTTAAAGTTGAAATGCAATTATAATGAGAATTATTCGTTAATTAATTCATTACCATCATGTCTATTGAGAGGATAATTTTTGGTAAAAATTAGGCCGAGCTATGAGATGGACTTTGTGGCCCAAAGTGCCAAAGACTTGGTGGAAAGGCCGCAATGTTACTCCGGCCCAGGAAATGCCGCAATGTTACTCCGGCCCAGGAAATGCCGTAATGTTACTCCGGCCCAAGAGAGGCAAGGCTACTCCGGCCTAAGAAAGACAAAGTTACTTCGGCACAGTGACTGCAAAAGATACTTCGGTCCGAAGTATCTTTGGAGTTATACCGGTATTGGGGCTAGACCGGCCGAAAGTTGTTGGTTCGGTCTAAGACCGTACCATGGGTTCTACATGGAAAGCTGAGATAAGAAAGGAAAAAACAAGAACCGAACTAAGGATGAGTTCGGTTAACTCAGTGGCTCTACATAGCCAAGCTTATTTCGGTCATATAGTAGTTTGGCCAAAGTAAAAACCATCCCACTTGGTTTAAGCAGTGGGGGAGGGTGTAAAAGGATAAGCATTATCCTTAGGAGTATGAATCCTAGGAGGACTCTGCATGGAGGAATAAAAGTCCTACTAGGATTGTGCCACTGGAAACTTATAAAAGCTCACAAACATCACCCTGGAGGAAGTAATTGAACACAACACAATTTTGCTTTCTGAGAACATAGAGCTTTGTCTATTAGTCAAGTTTTCTGACTTAGGCATCGGAGAGGTTTCCGGCACACACCTGCCGGCTAGCTCACGTTTGTGTTTTCAGGTGACAAAGCGACGTCGTACGGAGGAGCGTGGACTTGGTCAACAGGATTATACGAGGAGAATTATTTCTTTCCCGTACACACTTTCTTTTCAAAAGTTGAAAAATGAAAATTATTCTGTAGTCTTGGACAATCATCTTTATTTTGATTGTGATTAATAACGTTTGGTTATCTCGGTTAAAGTTGAAATGCAATTATAATGAGAATTATTCGTTAATTAATTCATTACCATCATGTCTATAATCCCAATTAAATGTGAAAATTTCACTTTTGTTAGATTTTTAAGAAAATGAGATTAATTAATTATCAAATCTCATACATTTATCGAGGTGGCTATTTATAAGTGGTATGATTAAAATTATAAGTACAAGACCACTTAATAATTGAATGGAGGCTTACACATAAGTATTAATAGGTGAATTTATTTTTAGGATAATAAATAACGTTTTTCATCAAATACTATTAAAAAACGTCATTAATTGTTAATATTTAACGATAGTTTGAAAATTGTCACAAATTATAAGTTTTAGTGACAGTTTAAAAAAATCGTTGCAAAAAAACTACACTAATTTTCAATTTTCAGCTACAATTTAAAAATTTATCACAGAAAAACGTCTTATAAAAATCGTAACAAAAAAATGTCACTAATTTTAAATGTGTTTGGTTTGAGTTTTCTGAATTAAGTTTTTTAAAAATTGAGTTTTTTTGTTTTTTTATTTTTAGTGAATATTTTTAAAATTTTAAACATTTTTTTAAAACTTTTTTAGATGCATCTTATTTAGATGTATGATGGGATTTAAGGCTTGGTTGGGTTTGGTTCGGTTTGGTTTATCGATGTATCTAAAAAGTAAAATTTTTGTGAAAAATATTTTAAAAAATTAATAAATACAAAAAAATACGACAAATATACTGAATTTTTTTTTATATATTTTGGTATTTAGTGAATTTTTTAAAGATTTCTTTTCACAAAAATTATACTTTTTAAGTGTATTTATGTTAGGTGTATCTAAAAATTTAAAAAATTGCTTAAAATATTAAAAAAAATCAATAAAAACAAAAAAATACGGAAAATAAAAAAGTAGAATTTTCTGAAAAGTGTTTGTAGAAAATCCAAACCAAGCAAAGTAATTTTTAGCGACGATGTTAAATTTTAATAGGATTTGATGGGAATTAATTCAAATTATTAGAACCTATTAGTAGTTTACTCTATTGAATTCTAATTGAGGAAGACAGGTTAATTCATATAATTCGATCAATTTTTCATACACGATCAAAATTAAAATTATTTTAATTTAATCATTTTTATAAAATTTCTCACAAAATAATAAATAAATAAATTAATTAATTATACCAAGACCCCATATATTAATAGTGAATATCACTTTACCCCTAATGTATAAATCCATACATATTAACATTCTCAATTATGAAAATTATACAAATATACCCTCTTTTGAAGGTAGTCCGGAAGGAATTCATTTTCATAATTAAGAGGTCCAAATATACAGATTCATAAATGAGATTAATTGAGAAAGTCTAGTGTAATTAACCCTAAATAAAATAAACTAAAGTAAGCATAGTTTGGCACCATGTTTAAACGAGTTGGGGGATTCTGCACACTTAAGCGGTGGCATGTGTGTTGTTTTTTTATTAACAATTCCGTTGCCTAAGGTAAAGACATGAATGATCCTTTACCTTTCTGTTTTTAATTGTCATTTACATTAAGAGTTATACTTCCTATGCAATTTCATCTAGTTGGATAAAAATAAATTATGATAAATATAATATTTTATGTTATATGAATTTAACATTTTTTAAAGACTTATATGTCATGAAAGGGTTTTGACAACGACAGTTTAGCGAATGCTTATTAAGAATTACATAATAACGAAGAGTTACAATTTCAATACAAACTTCTCACTCTTATTGTATATATTTTTACACATTTCAATCAAATTTTTACACACATAACCATATTTCATTGGGCAGTGGTTAACATTTACTTTTTGATACTGTGGATGAAATTATTTATAAAAGTTATTAGGGATAATTACAAAAAAAAACCATAGTTTGACTGTTATAATAAAATTAATCTTGAGTTTTTAATTTTGTCAATTTTAATCATAAGTTTTTGATTTGTTTTTCGATCCAAATTATTGGTCTATTTTTGCTAAGTCAAGTCAATGTAAAAAAGGATATTTTGGTCATTGAACTCAATAAAAATGATATTTTAAATATTTTATATTGACCTACATTGAATTTAATAGTTAAAATATCATTTTTTTGCCGGTTTTACTTAACGAAAATAAGCATATAGTTTAGTTTGAAAATAAATCTAATATTAAGGTTTAAATTGATAAAATTAAAATTTAGTATTTATTTTGTTATAATGGTCAAATTTTGTTTTGTTTTGTTTTTTGTGTAATTCTCCAAATTATTAATTTCAACCCAATTCCATTTTTAAAATTTAAAAATCTAAACCTTATTTATTTATTTATTATTTTCATTATTAGATTGATTCAAAAATAAAAAAAACAAAAAGATTAGATTATCTTAAATAAGAAGCAAAAATATTAGGGGTAAATATATATATATTTTTATTGAATTTAATGATTAAAGTATTTTTTTATTAGTTTTATTTAACGAAAAGAGACCGATGGTTTAATTTGGAAATAAATAAAAAAAATAAATATTTAAATTAGCAAAATAAAAAATTAAGCGTATATATTGTTATAAGGGTTAAATCTTAATCAGTGTGTTTGATTTTAGTTTTTTAAATTCAGTTTTTTGAAAATTGAGTTTTTTATTTTTCATATATTTTTATTTTTAGTGAATATTTTTTAAATTTTAAGCAATTTTTTTACTTTTTTAGATACACCTTAGTTAGATGTATATAAATAGTAAAATATTTATGAAAAAATATTTAAAAAAATTAATACATACACAAAAATATAAAAAATGTACTGAATTTTTATTTTTTTAAATATATTTTTTGGTATTTAGTATATTTTTTAAAGATGTTTTTCACAAATATTATACTTTTTAAGTGTATTTATATTACGTGTGTCTAAAAATTTAAAAACAATTACTTAAAATATTAAAAAAATTCATTGAAAAAAATTAAAATACATAAAATAAAAAAATACAAATTTCTAAAAATTAGATCCAAACAATATATTTTTTTATAATAATTACTTGAAAATATTATATTAATCATAATATTTTTTAGGGGAAATTACAAATATCTCGCTGTCAGAATATTTTATTTGACAAATGTTAGAATTATTTATTTTGATGATTTATTTAATTATGTTTTGATTTATTTGAAAGAGAAAAATAAAAATAAAATTTATTTTGATGATTTATTTGAAAGAGAAAAATAGAATCAACATTTATTTTGATGATTTTATGTTTTAATAAAATCAAAATTTGTTTTGTCTTATTATTATCACCTAAACCTTTATCCTAAATGTTGTTAGAATGTATTTAATATTTGATTAAATCAGGAGTTCAAACAGCCCAAAACAAAAGTTCAGACAGCCTAGCACAACAGCAGGCCAAAAGGTTCAAAAAGTGAAAGATATTCAAATTAGTAATGATAGAAGTTCAAAAGGCTAAAAGGTTCAAAAGGCCAAAAGGTTCAAGTGGAAGATATTCAAATTTGAAATGATGGAGTGCAAGATATTCAAATTGGTAATGATGGAAGTATAACGGCTATAAATTCAAATAACCACAACGGCTATAAATTCAAATGAATACAACGGCTATAAACGACTATAATTTTCATTATATATACCAAAGCCTCTAATGTAAACAAGTTACAAAAAACCTGAAAATATTATTTGATCTATAATTACTCACATCTATTCTCATAAATTATACGCTGAGCCTTATAGCTTTAAGCTCATCTTATCTGTGTGAGATTTACAGAAAAATGAAAACTTCATTTTATATATCTATCTTTAAGAGATATTTATTGTAAACTTTCTTTGAAAACAAAAATACCATTTCATCTTGTAAAAGTGTTGCAAATACTGTGTTCTTGAAATATTGAGAGTGATTGTGAATCACCTAAGATTTGCAAGGGTTTGGACTTGTGAAGTCTGTGTAAAATTCGTGGAGGATTGTTCCATTTGTAAAGAGGTTGCTAGCACCCCTGTGAAGTTAGAAGAATGTGGAAAATCTCAAGTGAAACTTGAGGAGGGGATGCAGGCTATGTTGAAACCGAACCACTATAAATCTGTTTGTCTCCTCTTTTCCAATCTCTTTACTTTCCTACTACTGCTATAGCTATCTAATATTCATGTATTAATCATTTGATTTACCCTGTATGTTAGTTATACTTCATTTTTATTTTACTTGATGATTTACTGCTAAATTTATCATTGTGTTTGTTAATAATTTGTTGTACTAGTAATTAATTTTATTGAGGTATTATTAATTTTAATTTGTAGAAACCTAATTCACCCCTCTTAGGTTGCTTTTTGGATAACAACAGAATTAATTAAAAATGAAATTTCTAACTGTTTATCTATACAATAATAAAATTATCTGAATTATTAATTGAAATAAAATTTTAACATCATTAAATTTTTTTTAATTAATTTGATAATTTTTTAATAAAATGACCTATTTATTATGAAATTAAAAACTTTAAAAAATATAATGTGATTTTTAAAATTATAAAAAATAATTTATAATTTAAGTAAATTTTAAAAAATGTGTTTATAATTTATCCTGTTTTTTATTTAACTAGATGAAATTGCACAAGAAGTATACCTCTTAGGCAAATGACAAATAAAAAAAAGAAAAGAAAAGGACATTCATCTCTTTACCTCAGGCAATGGAATTGTTTATCAAATACAACTTATACCTTAACCTTTAAGGTCTCGTTTGTTTGAGTTATTGAGGGGAGATTAGAATTGATAGTGAGGTGATACTATTGTATGAGACGTTTGTTTTGAGAGATGGAGAAGAGATTTTTAAACTCTTGGTATTAGTAAAGGCTTTGGAAGAAAGATTGAGAATGAAAAGATAGAGATAATATTAGAAAAATAGGAAGCGAATTAGAAATTTTTTTATTTTATTTATTTTTTATATATTGAGATTTTTTTTTAAATACTAATGTTTAAATTTTTAAATTTTATTTATTTATTTTATTATTTTATATAAAAATAATTTAACATTTCTTCACTATTAATCCATTTACTCTCAATCCCCTCGCTAACAATCTGACTATGAATCACTCCATCCTACCTCTCCAGTGCAGTTCCGTATCACCAGCTCTATCTCTCTCTCTCTCTCAGCACCCTCCGACGAATCAAGGTATGCGAATTTCTTCCCTCTCTTTCTCTCTCTCTCTCTAGATTTCTCTCTATTGATTACTGTTCTCTTTATATTTTTTTTCATGTGGCAATTCGATTTGATTGGTTGTTGGTACTAGTGTTGTTGAATTGTAGGGTTTTAGATTCAGTTGTATTGTTCTAAAAATATAATCAGTTTCTTCACACTGGGTGTTTATCAAATTACCTATCATGCTCTTCTATTTCCATCTAATCTTAGTTTTTTGTCATCTACTTTCACTTAATTTTGTTATTAATAAATGGGTGAAACCTTTTGGGTGACTCAAGGGTTTTGTTTAGAAAGCCATATTTCAACCTAAATTGCTTCATATTATGGTGGAAAGTTTGTGGTTCAAGTTTAATTGAGAGAGCAAGGTAAATTCGTATCCTTGTATCACTTATATGTATTGTCTCGTATATAAATTAAAAGAATTATAAGTTTTTTCATGTAATGTATAAATTTATTGCAAAACTAAAGTACTAAATCATATAATTGATGACATGAAAAATTATTTCTAAGAAATTTACAAATTGGTCGAAGAGGTAAATATACATTCATTATAAACCCAAGTATCCAACTCATAAGAAATTATGACAAATTTGAAAATTTAAGAGCAAAAGATAAATGTCATTTTATTGTAAATATAAAAATAAGAGAAATTGCAACCAAAGACATGGTTTAGTACTTAATTGGATATGAGTAGTCCCAAACATGCTTGTTCTATGGTTTATTGTCATGGTCCAAACAAGTTTTTTTTTGGCTTAAATCTCGACTCTAAACTCAAAACTAACAGTTTATATGGGCTTGACTTACGAATTCAGGAATATATAAAGAAACCAAAAAAAAAACAATATGAAGCAATTCGCTGATGAATGATAATGTTGCGACAAAGCCAAATGGGTTAAAAAATTAGTCAGCCCAATAAAGTGGATGTTGTAACACATGACGTGATTAGTGAATTATAAGATTGACAGAATTGTAAAAGCTGTGCCAATGCTTTTGATGCTTTATTTTACTTGCTAAGGATCTCTTCAGTCTGCTTTAGTCCCAGATGGCCACTGTACAAACACTTGTATTCACCAACATTAATTTTCAGTGCTTTGCTGAAATCAGCAAACAAGCAGGAAAACGTAACGGAAATCATAGTCACTGTTGTTGTTGTTGTTTTTTTTTTTTTTTGGGCATACTTTGTGAATGAATGAATACTTGTGTTTGGAGGGAGCCTGTTACTTTCTAGAACGAACTTCATAGGAAAACAAGGGAATTGTTTGGACCACAGAAAAAATGAGGAAGTGAAACTGTTGAAGCGTTATGTATTTTCATCAAGGGAATTGTTTGGACCACAGAAAAAATGAGGAAGTGAAACTGTTGAAGCGTTATGTATTTTCATTGCCATCGTTGTGTGTTCATGCTACATCGTTTTTTGCTTGGGAGGTAGTATAATTTGCACATAGATAATAACATGCCCTAAAAGTTGTGAGGGTATATATAATCATATGATATTAGATTGGATATGAGTTTATTATTTTAGTTAAAGGTCTTTCATTAACATGATGACGTGTCTGTTTCCCATGTGTGCAGGCAAGATAGAGCACAATACCATTACTACTGCAAAGGAATAAGCTTATACATTCCATTTTTGGCTGTTTGTTTTGTTTCTGCTACTGTTAAATTAGCAGATCACAAGTGAGTGAGATTCTTTAGAAATGAGAGTATTCAGCGGATGGCGTCGTTTCCTTTTATGCCTTCCTCTCATTTTCTTCCTTCCTCATATTTTTTCTGGTGATTGTTCCCATCCTTGTTCTAATAGCTTTAAACTAAAATATTTAATTTCATTTTGAATTTCTAGTTAAGGCCTGACAGAAAGATGTTCTGTATTTCTCAGTTTTAGAATTGCAGCAAACTTCAACTGTAGAAGATCTGCACAAAAAACAAAGCAAGAAATTTGATCATCTTGTTCTTGGACCTGCTGCTGGTGAAGGTTTACATGATCGTCTGCAATGCCAAGGTTTTTGCAATTTCCTTTGGGAAAAGAAAGTTTGCTTTAATGCCAGCGAGACTTGCATATTGTTCTTGAAAATTAACTATTTAATCCTGAAAAAGTGTTTTTATTTCTCTGTTGCAAAACCCTACCATTTGGTCTCCCTTTTAATCAAATATGTTTTGTATATTACTTCTAATTAATTGGTTTTACTATTGATTGGTGATTGGCTTCCCATTAAACCTATAAAATTATATTTTTGGTTTATCATTGACATATCTTGCTGTTCTTTTTGGTTATCTCTCAAATTCTAGCCAGTTTTTACTTTAAGTAGCAGTGGAACGTCATGTGAAACATTCAATTATGTAATCTCCTAAGGTTAATATTTCATCTAACTAATAGGTTTTATATAGCTAGATTCTTTCCTGGAAAATGAATTATTAGTTTTCTAACTGAATAACATGTTCATACTCTGCCCCTATAACTTGTATCTGAACATTGGCCATGTCAATTCAACATTCATAGTTATACTCGCATCCAAAACTTGCATCTGAGTCTCCTGTTCTGTCGTTGTTTAATTCCTCTATAAACGTGTGTGGTCTCTTGCATATCTCATGTTTTGAATCTGTTGCAGGCATTAAAGCTCTTAACAAGACCCAATTTTCAGCTTCCGCTAACAATTTCAATTTTGGAGAGAACATTGCCTTTATCACAGTCTTCACCACTTACAATTCCTCCATTGATAGGACAATCAATGGTAAATCGAGAGACTTGGTTACTGTTGGGAACACTTCATACAATAAAGTGGAGAGGTCAATGGCCATTTTGAATGTCTTTATTAACTTCATTCAGGTAATTCTTCCTGACAGTATCATGCAGTAGTAAGACAAAATCGTAACCTAAGTATCATGCACCAATGAAGTACAAGCATGGTTCAAGCAATCATTTGCTAGAAACATTTACAAGAATATAAATCTTCGATCCATATTGAACCTTGAAATAGAAAAAATACAAAATAATAAAACAAGAAGTGGTAAAATATGCAGCCACTCAATAACAAGGTACACAGTCTACATGCAACAACCCAATGACAAGGGAGTGGCACATGGCTTTACATGCAGTCACCTATTACTATTGACATGTGTCCTACATGCAGCCACTAGATCAAGAAGTAGGTGACAAGTTGTTTCGTCCCTTTTTGTGAACTAGAGTACACTTTTTCCACCAAAAATAACCTTGGATCTTTTATGTTTTGTGCTTATGACATTTGCAGGCGACAATGCCCCAAAGCAACATAATTATTCTTACTGATCCAGCATCTAAGCTTCCGGCACACAAAAGTCGGGTCACTCTATATCCAATTCAAGGTGAATATTCACGAGACAAGTTGATGCTTCAAAGAATCAGGTCTTACATTGTAAGAGCATTACATTGATTAATAAATGGAACATTTCTGTTGTTTGTACATTTCTATTTATTGTAGCAATTTTATGGACAACAGTGCCAATTTATCTGAATATTTCATTTAACATGTTCGTATTTTTACTTTTCTTGTAACTATGCTGAGACTTAGAACTCCTGAATTTTTTTACTAAAAGTGAAAATCTACATTTTAGATTTCTTTTGATCAACATTGTTAGGGTTGCTCAACAGTGCCAATTTATCTGAATATTTCATTTAACATGTTCCTATTTTTACTTTTTCTGTAACTATGCTGAGATTTACTCTTGAATTTTTTGCTGCAAGTGATAATCTACATTTTAGTTTTCTTTTGATTAACATTGTTAGTGAGGGTTGCTTAATAATTTGTAATTATATGAACATAACAGTTGGAAGATACTTTCAAGTGTAGTTTGCTTTGCACTCTTCCCACACCATTTTTTGTTTTTGTTTTTGTTTTTGTTTGTGGCAGAAGTTTTGTTTATTTTATTTGTGGAATTTATTCTATCTGTGGTAGGCCTTTCTAGAAACAAGGCTTGAAGAGCATTCTCAGTGGCAGGGGCATATTAATCATTACATCTTTACCGACTCAGATGTGGCAGTAGTGGATGACCTAGGACAAATATTTAATAACTACCCAAATTTTCACCTGGCTCTCACTTTCCGGAACAACAAAGAGCAACCCCTGAATTCAGGATTCATAGCCGTGAGAGGCACTCCTGATGGAATCCGAAGGTGTGTAAATTGCAAGTTAATTTTTATTTATTTATTTTTTTGTGTATGTTCTGATTTGCTGCAATGCCATATTTTTTGTTATGCATGTTTTTACAAAAAATGCTATATTTTTTTGGATAGATCCAAGACTGCTACGTTGCAAGTCTATTTTTTGTCATACCCCAGATGGACATATTTTTTTGTTAGAAGTAATGTATTGAAATGTTATATTTTTTGTTATACATATTCTAACTCCGCTTTGCATTTTATATGCATTAAGTATTGATGCGTGCATATCTTTAATTCAAGGGACCGTGCTTCTACAATTCTAAGGATTTTACATTGTTTAGTGTTTTTTTCTCACAAGATATTTGTTTTTTCTATAATTGTATTTATTTTTTCTACTCTAAATCTAAAGGTGTCAAAAAATCTTATGATACATGATATGATGCAATCTTTTAAAAAGTGGCCGCAACTGTTATGTAACAGTTGTAGTGGTTACCTATACCCGTTACGGCCACTATAACGGTGTGATAGAAATTTACAACCGTAACAGCAGCCACCATTACATAAAGGCCGTAACGGCCACCACCATTACGTAAAGGCCGTAAGGGCCACCACCGTTATGTAAAGGCCATAATGGCCGTTACGTTGCCGCTACAGCACCGTTACGGTCGCTACAAGTGTTACGCTTCTATTTTTTAAATTTTCTTTTTTATATATAAATTTTGTATATATGCTATTTTCTCATTCATTGTGTTGTTTCAATTAGCTTAGAAACTAAAACATTTCAGAATCACAAGGGAAGTGGCAAAACGATTTGGAAACATATGAAAATGTTTGGAAAAAAAAAACTGGGAAGTGGCAAAACGATTTGGAAACATATGAAAATGTTTGGAAAAAAAAAACTAAAGCCTAAATAGATGTTTATACATTCTCAATAATTAAATCATTGAACATATTATTTTTTATAAATTTTGTATATAATGCTATTATGTCTTTTGAATGTCCATACATCTTTTACGTAAAAATCTTATCTATATATGTTTTGAATGTCCAATCTTCAAGTTCTACAAGATTTCATTACTTTTTCATCTTATCTATTAACATCTATTTTTCTTATGTTAAATTTATTGAACAAAATTTAGATTTCATCTTATGTACTTATACATTATTATGTTGACATTTTGTATTTTAAACATGCTTCATTTTTTTCTTAGCAAATTGAAAGTTATCCATAAGTATAATTAGGAAAGCAAAGAAAAATTCTTCAACAATAGAAAAATTTTCCATAGCAATTTAAAACTAATATAAAAATTAGTATATATATTGGATCATGTCTTAAAACTAAACAAAAATACTAAAAATTATTTTGAACCTCACTAAATGTGATTTTAGAATAAAAACATGCGTATCGGTATGTTTTCTTAAAGTTGTGTGAAAAATTAAAAAATTCACGGTTTCGGTTATCATCACCGTTACACTACGGCCATTACAGCCCACAACCACATCAATGCTACCATTACCATTACGGGAACTGCTACCATTATTTAAAACCTTGGATACAATACACAATTTGTATCCCAATTTGAAAACTATGCCCATGGGCTTGAAGCTGATGGAAGAAAGAGAGGGCAACTGGAGCAGAACTTAAGCCATAGGAAGAAAGGATCTGTGATAATTGGGAAGCAGTTACTTGTTTAACCTTTTTCCATTTCTCCCTTTTGAATAACTGCTTTGCTATGAACTTCCCTTCTAATTTTCTTACGCCTTCTTGGGAATCATCCGCAGCACTTGGAAATATGTCAATTTACTTTCTGAAGTGATCATGATTCATGATGTGAATACGGCTGCAGGGGAAAGGTTTTCTTACAAGAAGTACTGAAAATATACAGTTCCAAGTACATGAAAGCTTCCCGAATGCTTGGAGATCAATTGGCTCTTGCTTGGGTGGTAAAATCTCATCCATCCTTCAATGCAAAAAGGTTTACTAAACCACAAGCTTTTCTGGAAAAAATTGGTGGTGCTTCAGTGCTCTTCTTACCATGTGCTATTTACAACTGGACACCTCCAGAAGGTGCAGGTCAATTTCATGGGATGCCCTTGGATGTTAAGGTACACTCTAGTTACTAGACATGTTTTTCTCATAAATCTTAGTATCGAAGGATTTTTTTTTAATTTTTTTTTAAATCCCATAGTTCTTGCTTTTAATCTGGGATGCAGGTTGTTCATTTTAAGGGGTCAAGGAAACGTCTTATGCTCGAGTCTTGGAACTTCTTTAATTCTTCATCTTCTGACATTTCAGATATGTTATGCCTCATCTTAAGTAGTGGGAGGGCGAAATATGATTTTTAAATTCAATTTCATATGGTTCATTAGCCGGCGTGTAAATTCAGTGGAGGGAACAACCCAATTCATTTCAACACGGAACTAGCTGGCAGTTTATTGTTTGTAGGATAGGCCTATGAAGTCAAAATATCTTCACATTCTTTGTCAACCATTGTCAACATTGTTTTTCCCAAACCCATGTTGTGTATTTGGCATTGCTTACTGTGAATGTTTTTTGATGGAAATAAAGCAGAAGAAACTCAAATGGCTATAGATGTGAATCTTACTTCAGTTGCTACAAAAAACAGAAAAAAAAAAAAAATCAAAAAAGAAGAGAATTGTTTTGGAGTGGTGGAAATATGTTTTCTTTGACCAGAGTGAGTGTTTCCTCCCCTCCCTGTGCTTGTTTTCTGTTACTGTAGAAAACATTTTGTTAATTTTCTTTCATTTTGTTGTGTAAGAATTTATACTTTTTTCTCATTCTCTTGGGAAACCAAGGAGCACAGTGGCAGTGTCTGCCCAATTTCTTGTGCTATTTTTGCTGAAATACTTTCCCTTTTTTTTGTTTTCTTTTTTTCAAATCAAAATGCTTGAATTGTGGAATAATATCTTGCTGATTTTATTTTGTGTGTAAATTGTGGATTTGTTCAATTTTTATCTTGTTTATTTAAGAGACTTTGAATCAGTCTGCCTTGTAAGTGTGTAGGCTTCAGCGTATTCAATTTTTTACTCAACCAGAATGATGAGAAGACAATTTTTATGATTTGTTTTTTGTTTTGTTTATTTGTTTATTTTTGTGTCAACTTGAGTAAGACATTGAATTTGTAACATCTTGACAGAAATTTGACTAGTGTAGGGCATATTTGCGTTTGAAAGTAAAAACAAGCACAACCTGAGGGTATAGCTTGGTTTTGGCTTGTAACGGCTATTTTCTCACCAATCGTCAACTCCATAGATTTCGAGTCTCAGGGCGTTCTTACTATACCAGTTGACCGCATTATTTTTGAAAGTGTAAATTACACATTGGCCATTTTTTCACTTTGGTATTTAAAGATTATTCACTGTGTTTGGTTTGAGTTTTCTGGATTAAGTTTTTTGAAAATTGACTTTTTGATTTTTGTATTTTTTTGTTTTTAGTGAATATTTTTTAAATTTTAAACATTTTTTTTACTTTTTTAGATGCGTCTTACTTAGATGTATCTAAAAAGTAAAAAAATTGTGAAAAAATATTTTAAAAAATTAATAAATACATAAAAATATAAAAAATGTACTGAATTCTTGTATTTTTTGTATTTAGTGAATTTTTAAAAGATTTTTTTTACAATTTTTTTACTTTTTAGATGTATTTATGTTAGGTGTGTCTAAAAAGTAAAAAAATTGCTTAAAATATTAAAAAAATTCAATAAAAACAAAAAAACACGGAATAAGAAAGTAAAATTTTTTAAAAAGTGTTTTGGAAAACTGGAAACCAAGCATTGTTATTATTTTTCATTTTGGCTTTTCATGAGTAATTTTGTTTTTCCATTTTATTCCAAAAATTAATTTGTCTAAAATTAGATAGAAAATAACACATTGACAGTTATGTGACATAAAAATATTTTATTATATATAATTTATGCATTTGACATAAACTTAAATTTTAATATAATAATATTTTTTTATATTATGTGGCAATTAATGTAGTATTTTTATTTAATTTTGAACAAAAGGTAGTTTTAGAAGTAAATTAGAAAAAAATTGAAACATGAAAGTTCAAAATGGGAAAAAAATTATGAGAGCCAAAGTGGAAAAATAACCAAATATAGAGAGGGCAAAGAGTAATTTACACCTTTTTGAAATTGAAATGTTTATAATGAATCACATATAATTTTGTTTAAATTTTGAAGAGTCTATACCTAAGCAATCCTTTATTTCTAACCTTCTTCACAGTCCTCTCTGCAAGAGTGCAATTGATGATGCAACGAAAGTTGCAATTTTCAATTGTTTTGATGATGTAAGTAGGGAAATTGATAAGCTGTGCACCACACACATGAATTGCAAAATCTACCTAGGTTTGAAACATTCAACATATTTACGATATGTAAGATGTGAAGGCAAATACTAGTCGACAAAGCTTTTTGCTTGGTGTAGATCCAATGAACACAATTACTCTGCATTCTAACCAGAAAAACTAGACAACACATTTGATTTAGTCCATCAGAAAAACTAGACAGCACATTTGATTTAGTCCAAGACTTTTCCCTTGCCAGTTTTAAGGTTACTACATGATGCAATGCAACGATAAAGACACTGATAATTTCCAACCATGCAATAACCCTTTTATCTCATTACTTGTGTTGCGTGGTATTTCAAACCAATCACGTAATGAAATTTTTGACAAATGGTACATAATGACTTACCTTTGTTAGGTAATTAAGCGAAAAAAGATTATTCACTTACGCTGTGTTTAGTTGGAAGATTTAAAGAGAGATTTGGAAAGGGAAAGCAAAAAGTTTGGTGAAATATGAATAAAATATACCTATATTTCACTTAGTTTCACACACATTTTTCCTTTTCTTTTTCAAATCCCTCCCCAAATCCTTCAACCAAACACAACATTAGTGTGTTGCGATTTCTCATTAGCCACTAATTTTCAAGCATAAAACACATCCAAAGTCTTTAAGATAGAAAAGAGTGCTTCTATGTATAAAGTTTCAAAATAAGAAAGGACCTTCATGAAAATTCTGCCAAAGGAACAAGACAACCTATCCCTATCATTAACTTAAGAAAATAAATCATAAAACAAGAGTGTAATTGAGTAACGGACAATCTTGATAATTGACTGGTCTACCACCCTTTTACTAGTTCAAGAATCTTACTTGGAAGGTTCAAAGCATGGAACCCTCAATTTTTTGCGCCCATTACCAACTAAAAGAGAATGGGCAAGTCCTGGCCAATGCCAGTAAGAGCGACCGTCTGAGTTTACAGTGTTTTACCTCTGAAAGTTCACAACTAGTTCTGGAGCCCGGGGAAGAGATGACCAGGCTGCCCTGAATGCTAAAAATGCTCAATGAATTTCAGTTATTCTTTTAGCATAAAACAATATCCAGACAAATTGAGATGAGATTTCTTAGACCGACCAGACTCAAATAGAGTCAGTTTGCACAGAAACATTGGTTAAACATAACAAGATGAGAGCAAGGCCTCCCCAAGCACCTTAACTAACAAGGCGGACTTCAAGTTCAACCAAGGGATGTTCAAATATCACATGAACTAAGTGAAAGTGGCAAATGTGATAATCCTAACTGCAAAAATTTGCAAAAAAAAAAAACCTACACAGATCACTGATATATGTGATACAGAAAAATCATTTCTTGAACCATTCCCAAAATCACAACCTTGCATTGAGAGGGGATTCTAACCATTGGAACATAAAATATTCTCCTAATGAATTCCATTCCAGAGATTCATAGTGTAGAATGCTTGATATTAGTTTATTTAACAGAGTGAAATCACTCAAATATCTTCCACTCTATGCGATGACCCATGGTACAATGTTTAGTCAAAAAAATAAAAAATAAAAGAAAAAATAAACAACGAAGATACAGGTTTCTTCAATATCCAAACACAACATTTGCCCAGAGAACAAAAAATCTAAAGAAAACCAACCAGACAAAATGTTTCGAGAAATTATATATAAAATATACGGACAAAATGCAGAAAATTGCTTGCAAATTACGCATAAATAACGAGTATCCACCCGGTCACCATAAAAGGAAAATGCAAATGTTGGTGTATTAGAAATGATTGATAACTAGTGAGTATAACAATTATATACTAAAATCAAAGCAAAGCACACTGGGATATTGCACATATCATTAATATTATCAATCCACCTCATATTTTGGCAATACATAGGAGTCAAATATAGTTCAATTAACGCATACAGAGACTAGAAAATCTAAAACTATCGTGTGCTATTTTATTCGAATTTCCATAGAAATGATACAAAGTCCACCACCAATCAGCAAAATGCTCCATCATCAGTCATGAATTCTACAATTTTATAAAACTACAACAATTACATTCCCAAGAATTCAAGAAGATGGTCTTGGATTTTCTTTCTTTTGATACAGCCCAGAAAATAAAATAATCCACCGACCACAAAAATTTCTTCGGCGTGGAATGCAAATTCCCCCCGTCGTATGGCATCATCATTACAGATATATGTAAACAAGATAATCAATTGGGTAAAAGAACAGAGATAGGTTATAAAAAAGGAAGAACAAAAAAATCATATGAATCAAAATAAACAAGGATCGAAAAACTTTTTTTATACCACACAATTGAATGAATGTGGATATCACTGGTCACTCTTCTTCCCACCACCATAGTAACCAAGATACCACCTCACAAACTTCTTCAAACCTGCCTGCAAATCCGTCGTTGGCTTATACCCGAGCTCCCTCTGCGCATAACTTATATTCGCGTGTGTGAATTGCACGTCCCCATTTCGTGGCAACTTCATAATCACCCTCTTCGCCTTAAGTTTCAATAACCTCTCCAGAATCCCCACAAGGTCCGATACAGGGACCGGCGAAGTATTCCCCAAATTAAAAACCCGCAATTGAGCCGGCCCCTTCTTCTTCCCCCCACTCCCAGTACTCTTCTCTGCAGTATCCAAGGCGGCCACACAGCCCTTCACAATATCATCAATGTAAGTAAAATCCCTAGCAACAGTCCCATGATTGGGAGCCTCAAAGATTGGAATTGACTTCCCTTTCAATATATCCCTAGTGAAAAAGAAATAAGCCATGTCTGGCCTCCCCCACGGTCCATAAACAGTGAAAAACCGCAACCCGGTCAGCGAAAGCCCGTAAATATGATTATAAGTGTGTGCAATTTCTTCACCAGCTTTTTTAGTAGCAGCATAGAGACTAGCAGGTTGGTCTGTTCTATCTTTTTCTGAAAATGGTACTCTAGTGTTAAGTCCATAAACAGAACTAGAAGATGCCCAAACAATTGAAGGCTGTGGATCAGCAGATTTACATACTTCAAGTAAACTAACTAAACCAGCAAGGTTGCTATGAACATAAGAGCTAGGGTTTTCCATTGCATACCTCACACCAGCTTGAGCAGCCAAATGCATTACATGGGTAAAAGCAACTACCTCAAAAAGCTTCTTCAAAAGAGCTATGTCATTGATATCTCCTTCAACAATGAACACACCAGTGCGTTCAAGAAGAGCTTGGCGAGCTCGTTTCAATGCAGGGTCATAGTAATCGTTGAAGTTGTCAAGTCCGAGAACGCCGTCGCCACGGCGTTTGAGGGCTGCGGAGACATGGGTTCCGACGAAACCGGCGGCGCCGGTGACTAGGACCGAGAACCCGTTTCGGGATCGGACTTTGGCGGAGGATCGGACCCGTTTTTCCCAAGTCGGGCCGCCCCAGGAGTAGGTTCGGAGGGATCGGCGAGAGAGATCGGAGGAGATTGGGGAAGAAGAGGAAGAGGGTGATCTGAAGAAGAAAATGAAGATCAAACCTATGAAGATGAAGGACCAGAAAGTGAGTTTGAAGAGAGAGGAGTGGAATCTGAGTCTGTGACTGTATGGAGATTTGTCCATCTTGAATTTTCCTGGGGTTGATGGAGCACTGTCAATGTGGGACTTCATTTGTGACATTTTCTCGGGAAAATCTTGGGTTTTTTTGTTGTTTTAGTTTTTTTCTTCTTTCTGGGCTTGATTTTCTTGTGGGTTTTCCTGGAATGTGGTGGAAAATCTAGGGTTTTGTTGGGTCAGGAAGTTTTTATTTTTTTCTTCCTTTTTCTCTCTCAATTTTGTTGTTGGAGTTGAAGATAAGGCCAAAAGGGTGTGTGTTTATGTGTTGGTGGTGATGGCTCTGTTCAACTTTATTTGTGGAATCTTCTGGTTATTGGAAGGAGTGGTTGTTTACTGAGAAAATATTTGAGATTATGATGGTTGATTAAGAAAATGGGTAATTGGAGAGAGAACGTGAGAGGGAATGAATGTGAAGGATTTAAAAATGGAGATTTGAAGATGGGGCTAATGGAGTGGAAGAAGAACAAATTCAAAAAAAAAAAGAAAAAGAAAAAAGAAAAAAAAACAAGTGCAATTAATGAAATAGATTAACTTAATTGCATGGACTAATTAGAGTTAAGAAATAGGGTTTTCTCTCTCATCATTACCAAGAAAAATTTAAAGCTTCTCTTGTGGCATAGTTGAAAGTGAAGAGATAAAATGATGAGGAAAGGCTATCTATCCATTGGGTTTTAGATTGATTGATTGGTTGGGGAGGCATTGAAATGTAGGCCTCCATTTATTTAACCTATTTTTTGTGTGGGAGTTCTTTATTTGGGGAGGAGTGATTTAAGTTTGGGATTTGAAGTTTTGGGGGTTAAAGGGGGGTTTGTTGGGGATGGTGTGGAGGACATTTTGAGGCCTAATTATGAGGGGTTCCTAAATTTCACACACAATTGAAGGGCATGAGAGATTTGTGGGGATTTGAAACTTCGATTTTTCTAAATGATTTAGAATGACAAGCATGATATGTTAATTGGATCTTGCTAATAACAATATAAATATATTTTTTTTTTTTTAGTATTTGTTAGTTAATAAGTGTAAAAAAAAATAGAAATCAGACATAAAAAATAAATAAATAAATAAATGTAATTTTTAAAAAGCGGACTCCAATAAATGTTATAAAGTGTTGTTTGGGAAGTTAGTTAAAAATTAATTTTTTGATTTTTTTTTTATTTTTTTGAAAAAATATGTAAAAAAATAGAGAAGTAATGTAACTCAAAATAGAGTTATAGACATCTTCTCAAAAGAGATCAAAATCTAGCCGATTTATATGATTTTGATGTATAATTTTGTATTTCTAATATTGTTGTTTGTGTATTTGGGCATAAAAAGAGGGAATGATATTCACATATGTCTAATTTTGTATTTCTAATATTGTTGTTTGTTAATTGTATTTGAACATAAAAAGGGAGAATAATATTCATATGACCTATGATGGTATAACAAGGGTGAGAGGTTAGTCTATTTGGATAAAGAGTAATGTTATGGATACTAAGGCTTCTTTTAAAAAGATGGCTAAAAGTAAAATTTATTTATTTTGAGTCATATTATCTCATTATTTTTTTATACGTGTTTTTAAAAAAAACTAAAAAGAACTCTTTTTAACCAACTTCCCAAACAACCCTAAATATTTCTTAAAAATTTCTACATGTGAACGGTTTGATAGAAATTTTGATAAAACATGCGATATCGCTAGCATTTTTGTTGGATAAAATGATTTGAAAATGAAAGAAAAGAGAATAGAAAAATAACCCAAAATTTGGGTCAAGGAATTTACCTCAAAAGCGAATGTGTAGTTTGATATTTAGTTGTTGTATTGTCAAGTCTATATATCGAAGTTTCACGGTAATGTTTTTGAATAAAATTCTAGATAAAAATTTTGTGTACGTAGTATTGCTAAAAAAAATAATTCTATCATATTCAATCACTTGTTTAGATAGATCAAAAGGAAAGAAATAGAGAAAAATATATAAATCAAATCAATTAAAATTCATTTTTTGAATGTCCTTGGGAGAAAAAAAAAATTGAAAGCTAAAGTATTGATTTTGCTCCTAAAGTATAAGAAATTTGAATTCTATCTTGCTTTTCCACACACATAATAAAATGTGTTTTTTTTATTAGTTTTTCTTTTCTTTTCTCTCGTTTGTCTTTCCCCAACTAGGGGAGGAAACTTCACTCTTCTTTCTTGCTTTCTCTCATAAAGAAAAAGGAAAATATACTACCCTTTTTTTCTTTCCTCTCATACTTAATTTATATATATATTTTTTTCTATCCTAGTTTGCCAAATGATTTATAAAAACGAAGTGCAATTATCATCTCTAAATATTAAACCCTAAATATCATTTCATTAAAATTATTAAATCTATCACTGTTATTGATCCTCTACCACATGTAGAGTCCATAAATTCAATAGGAATGACAACGAAATACCATTAAGAAAAAAGACTTTGCACCCAAATCATTAAAACTCTATTTTATTTTTTTCTAGGTCAATAAGCACTATATCAAAGTTTTCTTTTTTTTTTTCTCTTTTTTTTTTCCCTATATTTTTCTATTAGTTGCCTAAGTAGAAAAATAACTTTCATATTAGATCTGCTAGACATAATCAAATTGTTTTTTTATGGAATCAATGTCTTATACCTTAGGTTGGGTTTGGTAGAGTTTTTTAAATATGATTTGAGAATATGAGTTGTATTTTGAGTTTGTGAGTTTTGGAATTATGATTTGAGTGTAGAAAATTTGTTTGGTGAATGAGTTTTAAAAAGAGTTTTTCAATTAAGTGATGTGACATAATTTTTGATACAAAAATTTATAGCTCATAACCTGACACACAACCCAAAATTTTATTCAAGACTCATAAAAAAAATTTAAAAAAAATTGAAAATTTTTTTTATTTAAAATATAAAAAAAACAAGTGTCATGAACATTGTCCAGTCAACCAACCGGACGTTTGGAGGGATGTTCGAGTACACAAATTTTCAAACGCAGGTGTGGAAATGATTTTTGAAAACTATAAACAAACGCCGCACTCAAACTAAAAGATATAATCATAATTCAAAAGTTGTACCAAACACAGCCTTAATTTCTCTAAATTAATCTCCAAATGAAATTTTATTGTATGAGTGCAACTTTGAATATCACCTTTGTTTTTATTTATTAAAACTAAAGTAAGTTTTATTTATTTATTAGACATTTTCTTAAAATTCAAGATCTTATGAAACAAATTTGTTAACCAAACTATCCATAAATCAAAAATAGATTTATTAACAAGATTTCATATTCAAAAAGATGTGTATTACAATAATGGGAAAAGTAAATACTTTCTCTTACAAACAATATGAACATCTAAGATATTGGTGTTTTGATTAACTTTAATGACAAATTTATTTCAGTGGAATCCCATTACGCATGAATTACACCTTAATTAATGGCTTTAAGAAACTAATTAGTAAAAAATATTACTATATGCACCAATTAGTGTATTAACTAATGTATCAATTAATAATGTAACATAATTTAAGAAGTTTTTGGTATTTATAATTTGTATAATGAGTAGGGTCAATGATAATGTCATAACTAGTGTTGATACACTAATTAGTTCATGTAGCATCATCGATTAGTAAAAATTCATGCAACGATTTTTTAATTGACGAATGCTAATGACTCACACAATTTAAGCCCTTAAAAGTTAAAATAACGCACAATGACATGATGATAAAGGAGTTGGGTCTTATATGATTGAATTGATTAAGGCTTAAGACCCCCAAAAAATGAGTAACCCTCATGACCCTCAACTGATGTGGACCACATGTTTGTATTTTTATTTTTATTTTTATTTTTCTTTTTTTTCTCTCTCTCACAGTTACGTGTGGATTGTGGGGGTTATGTTTTGTGAGAGTTTGTATCAAAATCATGATTGAATTTGTAATAAATCAAAAATTAACATGTAACTCATCATTTCATTAGAGACAAAATTGGAAAAAACTTTTTGGAAGTCTCAATTTTTTCCTTTTTAATTTATCATAAGATAAAACACTCATAACTTTTAGTACAATGAATTCTACATGCATTTTGTTAATATTCTGCCATTATGAGTTTATGCTAAACCATGTAATAAACAGAAGAATTTTTTTTTAAGGAACTTGATATTAAAATTTTATAAAATAAAGAATATATAATATTTTCATAATAGTTGGAGTTTTTCAATATTTTCATAGAAAAAATTCGATACAGAGAAATTTCGCTCCGATACAGAGAAATTTCACCTCGACATAGAGAAATTTCTTTGATTTCACAAAGAAATTTCATCAAGGGACCTTAGCTAATAATATATATATATATATATATATTGGACCTCTCATACTATTCAAAGTTGGAAAAAAATGTTTCACTAATTTTTCCTAAACAAAATAAGATAGAAAAATATAATAATTAATTGAAGCATTAGTGGCTTACTATATCCACGTAAATTACTTCCTCATTTACTTGAAATTACTAAGCATTTTGACAATAAAACTATTAATATAAAGGGTGAATTACATTAACCTCCCTTTTAATAAGATAAAAGGGATTGAAAATAATACAAATAGTATGAAAACATAATAATAAATGAGAAAAAATTATACATTTCAATGTAATAAAGATCACAATATCAAATTTTTTTTAAAAAAAAAAAATCTATGTGACTAACATATATTGATGCAATGGTGATTAAGTATTATATAATTAAAACTTTAAAAGAATTTAATAGAATTATATTATAATTATGAAACTTATTATATATATATATATATATATTTTTAATTTAAAGAGATTTCATGATAATTTATCCTAATGTAAACATATCAGATGAGCTAAAGTGATAAGGGCGAAAATGCCCCTCACCTTTCATCACCATTGCTTTCCATCATCTATGTCAACAATAGGTGTACTGTTATATCAATGCTGATTTAAAATTTGATATTATATATTTAAATAAAATATCAGTTCTTATTTCATATAAGCAACCATATGTTTATGTATGTTTAGATACAGACATAAAAATAAATGTTTCCATTGGATTTTTTTATATGTGATGAATCTAGAAACGATGGTACTACATGCACCAATTAATGTACACACTAGTTTATCAATTAGTGTTATGTCATTATTACTAACCACATATATTATACAAATTATAAATACTCAAAATCTCTAAAATTATGTCAGATCATCTGTTAGTATTCTAATTAATATATTAATTGATACATTTTAGACCCTCCATGGACACTGAAAGTCACAACCATCATAATTCTCTTAATTACCTAATTTATTAAGTCATATTATTTATGCATATATCAAAACAAAAACAAAAAACAAAAAAAAAAATTGATGAATTTACTATTATTATTACTATTATTATTAGTTTTTGGCCAATCAATAGGAATTGACTTATATCATACTAGGTATTTAATTACTTAAGAAAACCCAATGACATGGTATAACAAACACAACAAATCCAATAAAAATTAATTCAATAATCACATAAAATGGACTCCAAACAAATACAAGACAAAAAGACTTATATATAAGTTAGAGAAAGTTGAACATCTCTATATGATTTTTATTTTATTGGATTTAAAATTCTCTAAGTTTGTCATGG